ACTGAAATAACTCGGATCGTCCATTTATTTCCACTCGTATATTTACCTTCCCACAATTTGTCACCCCTAGAAGCCCAAAACCTCTCCCTTTGTCTTGTCACTTCTCCACAAATGTATTGCTCTTTGTTAAAATGGTCTATAAGCTCTGAGGCCTCACAGCTTCTTTGGGTTTTCACTTTCTTTTCTGTGAGACTCTTATGTATGCATAAAAAAATTAAAATAGTAGCATCAAATAAAATATGTATGCTTTTGTTCTGGTTATCTGTCTTTCTCCAGTTTAACTTGCAGGGCCCCAGTCACTGAACATAAGAGGGAAAAGGAAACAGGTTTCCCCTCCCCTATAGGAACAAGGGCAGCAGCGTTTTCTCAAGCATCCTAGAGATGGGCAAGGGCAGAAGGTTGAGTGACAGAGGGTTTGAACACAGTACAGTGGGGCAAAGGGACACAGTCAGTAAATGTGGATGGACTGGCACATGATGGCATTTACACAAGCCCACAATGCCTTGATTTGTCATAAACTTCTCAGAATTGCAATGGCACACAGAGTAGTGGGAGGAAAAAGTTCTGAATGGACAGAGTTTAAAGCTAAAAGGGCTGAGAATACTGAATTGATCAGATCAAGTCATTTCTGCCATCAGGAAACATACAGACTCAAGATAAACACTAAATTCAGTTAGGACAAAATAAAGAGTGCCACATATTTGGCACTTGTGAGTTAAGATCATGAGAACTTTAAATTTGCTGCAGAATTGTGTGTCATCCAGCTTATTTTTTTTAAAAAATGGACTTTATATCTACTTGAATAAAACAGAAAAGAAAGATGCTATTATTTCTGAAAGGGTCAAACACTATTTAATGTTTTGATATTATTCATATTTATAAAGTATTAGTCATATTTATAAATAATTACATAAAATCCTAATGAAACAAGGATCCTCTAAGAAAGAAATAGTTGACTTATCAAGGACTGCCCAAAAGGAGAGGTCCCTCGCTGCTAGGGCTTCACTATCTTCCAGCAAACCCTAACATCTCACTGGTTGCTCTCCAAGACAGGTTCTGCTACTCTGCTTCTCTGCTCAGCAGCTCCCAGAGGCTCCTACAATTTTATTCTGCCTCCTCCGTCATGACATTCTTGGGGAAGCTGGGTGCCATTACTCTAGGATAATTGCAGGCATAGCACTAGCTGGAGAGTCTCAGCAGTGGTGCTCTTACATGTGTGTTTTGGCACCTCATGCCTTCATTGAATTTTATTCTTTAGCCACGAAAAAGAAGCTGTCTGTGAGGGCCTTCAGTAGCAGTAACCAGACGGTCTTCCCTGAGTCTGTTGGGTTCCTGCCTCTGGTCACTTCACTGGGAATGATTCCCTCCATCTTCTGGCTGTGAAGTTTGGACTCATTATATCACCTCTTTTAACTTATACATTCTCATGTGTATAACTCGGACATTCACGCTTTCCATACAGAAATGTTTAGGAATCAATATCAATCTCTGTGCCTGGCAGACAGTGCGTGCTCATTAGTGTTTCTTCCCTTTCTTTCTTTCTTTCTTTCTTCTGAAACAGGGTCTGACTCTGTCACCTAGGCTGGAGTGCAGTGGCATGATCACAGCTCACTGTGGTCTTGAACTCTTGGCTTCAAGTGATCCTCCTGCCTCAGCCTCCTGAGTAGCTAGAATGACAGGTACTCACCTCTTTATGAGTACCAGGTTTCTGTGTGTCTGCATCTTTTTTATTTTTTTGTAGGGACAGGGTCTTACTATGTTGCCCAGGCTGGTCTTGAACTCCTGGGCTCAAGCAATCCTCCCTCCTTGGCCTCTCAAAGGGCTGGGATTATAGAAGTGAGTCACCACACCCAGCTTCTTCCATTTCTTGATACCTTTTTGGTAGTGAAGAATGTCTGAGCATTTCTTCATACCCAGCTTGTACTGGGATGTTTGAGTAGAATTTGCTGAAGATCTTTTGTAATCAGTGGCACATTTTGAGGCCATCTAAAAACTGTGTTTCTCTTTAACAGATCTGAATATTTGACCTCTGTTTAGTAGGAATACTGGGAAAACTTAATTTTCTCAAAGGGAAAAGCAGTTTTGTCAGTTGGATAAGTGTGTCCGAGCAATGGGAAATCTAACTGACATGCAAGAGCCCATTCTTTCTATGGTAAGTATTGAATTATGTTAGACAAAGACCTGAGAACTGTTGCTAAGTTCCCAACGGATGCTAAAAATAGGTAGGGTACTGTGGTTTCATTATCTGGAACATGGTTGAGGAGACTTTAAAAATATCTAGCTAAGGGCCATTCATAGTCAATCAAGGTTTATTTAAATAGCAATTAAGCGTAGAACATTTATACAAAAGTAGAGGAAAAACAGAAATCATGTACTACATTGGCTGTTAAAGAACAGAACAGAAAACTCTACTAAACAAATACAGTGAAAAATAAAACCATATTCTGCAAAATTTTGATTATCGGGAGCTCTTTAGAAAGAAGCTGACTGCTGACTTTTCTATATGGTCAGGATTTATATCTTCAAGAATGATTTTTTAAAAGACTCTGAATGGAAAGCTCTCTAAATGGATCCCATGCTTCCAAGCATTCTTAAACACAGTACGAAGAACACAATCGCATCTCTTCCTGACTTGGGGTCTGATATGGTTTGGATGTGTGCTCCTCTAAATCTCATGTTGAAATGTGACTTCCAATATGAGAGATGGGCCTAGTGGGAGGTGTCTAAGTGACAGGAGCAGATCCCTCATCAATAGCCTGGGGCTGTCCTTGCAATCATGAGTGAGTTCTCACACTATTAATTCACCCCAGAGCTGGCTGTTTAAAAGAGCCCAGGACCTCCTCCCATCTCTTGCTCCCTCTCTTACCATGTGACATGCTGGCTCCCCTTCACCTTCTACCAGGACAATCTTCTTGAGGCCTTTGCCAGAAGCCCAGCAAGATGCTGGTACCGTGCTTGTACAGCCTGCAGAACTGTGGGCCAAATAAACCTCTTTCCTTTATAAATTACCCAGTCTCGGGTATTCCTTTATAACAATGCAAAACAGACTACCACAGGGTCTCAATTAATTCATATGAATATCGATTATTCTAGAGTCCTGGGTTAATAACAACAATGGCCTCAATATCAGCTTAAGTGTGTGGAGCCATTTGTCTCTTTCTTTGCTTTTCTCTTTTTTTTTTGGAGACAGGGTCTCACTCTTTTGTCCAGGCTGGAATGCAGTGGTGTAATCATAGCTCACTACAACCTCTACCTCCTGGGCTCGAGAGATCCTCCTGCCTCAGCCTCCCAAGTGACTGGGACCACAGGTGTTTGCCTCTTTTTGAGTCCCAGCTTTCTAGGTGTTTGCCTGCACCTTCTCTCTTTGGCTGTGACTTCCCACTGCAACCACATGTCTATCCCTCATACCCCTTATCTCTGTTAGTGACTGGAAAGTCAGGTCTAAGTTTGTCAAAATTTTTTTATCTGTTAACTAAAAATAAATTCATTCTGGTGAACATCTGACAGTTTAAGAAGAATGGATATGAGACTTTTTATTTTTTTTATTTTTTTCGCTCTGCTGGTTCCAGACTGTATCTTGTTATCAGTTGATGTATAATACAATAAAAGCTTTTTATAAACCATAAAGTGTTAATACAGCTATAAAGTAGTGTGAGTCTCTTTAGGGATTTTTGTGCAACCTGCGTTTCCCAGCTAGCCAGCCAGGCCCAGCCCTTCTAGGCCCTGAACTGAAGGCACTTGTCTACCTACTGGTTATCTTTATTAATTGACTGGGCAAATAGATTGAGATGGTGCCGGTAGTGTAGAAACAGATTGTACCAGGATCTTGGATTTCATGTTCAGGAGTCACAGTTGGCTTATTTTTGCAACAAGTTCGACTGAGCATCTTGGCCACTATGCTGTTCCAGGCCCCAGGCTTGCTAGAGGCATTGGGGTGGGTGTCCTGGCAGAACTCTGTGATTTCCCTAGAGGGCGGTGGTGCCTGGGGCACCTGGAACCCTCAGGGCAATCTTCTTCTGCTGAAAGCAGCTTTAGTGGTTTATCTCAGTTTGCTGTACTGATTTCACTTGCTGTGTATGTCACGGTGTGAAAAATGCTGAGAAGGCCTGATGTTAGGTGGTTATACTGAATTGCAAGTTGTTGCATTTAAGGGTATGGATGGTGTGTCCTCTCCCCTGCTTGGCAGGCGTTGCTGAGAATGCATTTTTTGTCCTTGTCACAGTAAACAGAGACGTCTATATTTCAGAGTTCACTCTCACTAAGCTACTGATTCAGTTCTCTGCGAGACAATCAGGCTGGTTCTAATAAATGAAACTGTTTTAAAAGTTAAATTCATTCAGGCTGGGCACAGTGGCTCAGGCCTATAATCCCAGCACTTTGAGAGGACGAGGTGGGTGGATCACCTGAAGTCAGAAGTTCAAGACCAGCCTGGCCAACATGGTGAAACCCTGTCTTTACTAAAAATACAATTAGCCAGGCATAGTGGCACACATCTGTAATCCCAGCTACTCAGGAGGCTGAGGCAGGAGGCTGGGCTTGAGCCCAGGAGGCAGAGGCTTCAGTGAGCTGAGACTGCACCACTGCACTCCAACCTGAGTGACAGAGTGACACTCAAAAAAAAAAAAAAAAAAAAAGAAAGAAAAGTTAAATTCATTCATTGGACATGTATTTCTTGAGCACAGATACTATAAGCTCTGGAGACACAAGGATGGATAACATAAGACTTCTCCTCCAGTGGGCTCGGGAGGGGGATGGCTGGATACACAAATAATCACCATCTGATGTGATGAAAGCCCCACACAATTTCGGCTTTCTTAAAGGGACACTTACCCTGCCCTTTCTCTCCTGTTCCAAACACGACATGAACATAGCATGAGAAGAGTCTCAATCTTGCTAAACACCTCATGGTATGTTAGAGCTCCTGAGTCATAGTTCTTTGTAGTATAACAGCTTATTGCATGATTGAAGATTCATGGGTTCATTACATTGCTTATCCTCACATCCTAACTGCACCCTCTAGTCCAAGGCTCCCAAGTGCCCTGACATCTGATACATCTTAGCACAGAGCAAGCTAACGTGGACTCGTGCCACGCCCCGTTACACACAAGAGGTCAGAGAGGAAGCAGGGCACAGCAGTTTCCCTCTGAGCCAGACCTTGGAGGTGGGCATGGTATTTTTGTTTTTCCTTTCACCAAACAAAAGGTTTGTTAAGACTGCAAATTTTCCACTGTGAATGAGGTCGAGACTTTTGTTGAGAAAGATCTGGAATGGAACAGATTAGGTTTTTAAAAACTCAATTAAGCTGAAAAAAAAAAAAAAAGTCGAGTCAACTATGATGATAACAGCATTTGACTGTAAGAATGAAAGGAAACCACACACGTAAACAAAGCCACATTTCATGACTGGAGTCCTAATTGCTTTGTTTTGAAAATACAGGATTATTTTGAGCTTCAAAAGGAAATGTGTTTACGCACAATTTGAAGGTTGTAGTTTCCTTCCCAAAGAAAAACGATTGGAGATTTCACTTGGGCAAAACATAAGAGGGGCTTTGTCCTTGGAGCACCTAAAATCTTGAGTTAAGTTGTGATTTGTCCTTTTTGTCTGATAATGACTACAGTTAATGTTAACTGAGAATTTGCCAGGGACTATGCACGTTGTTTACACGACTTATCTCTTACTAATCTGAAATATAAGACAGTAGTGGTAAGCCAAATTTTATGTTGCTTTTGTTGCATGATAAAAGATTCAAGAGAACAGAAGAAAGAAAAATAAGGTTATCTCTGAATACAGCATGTGGCATTGCTGTTGTACTGATGATTATGTGAAGACCAAGATAACTTTTGAGAACATGCTCATGACTCCTCCAAGACCACATTTAGAGTCTGCATGATCCTGGACAGCAGCTGTGTTTGTTATCAATTCAGATTCTACTTTGTACTTTGCGGACTCCAGTAATGTACCAGCAAGAAACTCAAGTCTCCTATGTTGAGAAAAATGTTACTTTGGCTGTTAGGAGGTTTCATGAGGCAAAGATTTAGTCTCTCTGAGCAAAAAAAAAATATCAGTGCTTGGAATATCTGAAGTCCAGGCATTCTGGAATTAGTGATTCTACCACCCATTTAAGCAAGTCAGGGAGTTGTGTTGAAAACAGGAAGGCTCCTCATAGGCCTGGAGACAAGGAGGCAATTGCAGAGCCTTTCCTCTTCCCAGGACAGCCAGCTCACCAGGCTTCTGTCACATTGGCCTCTTTCTGTCCTTCCAACACATAAGCCATCTTTTGCCTTGGGGCCTTTGTGTCTTCTGTACTTTCTCCCTGGAAGGCTCCTCAAACCCTCATCAATTTTTTTTTTCATAGCTCAAAAATCAAGATGTTTTCCCTGACTGTCTTATCTAAAGTAGACTTCCTCAAGTTAGGGCATCTATTCTAGTCTATAATTCTATGTTTATTTCAGGTCATTATGATCTGTCTCCCTTCACCTCCATGTAAGATCCATGACAGCAGGACCTGTGTCCCTCTTGTTCACCACTGGATCCCACTGTCCAGCACGGTGCTTGACATACAGTTGTTGCCCAGTGCACATGTGTGTGTATGTATGTGTGTGTATGTATACACACTGCAATTGTCTTCTGGTCTCCAGGCCCATGAGAAGCCTTCTCGTTTTCAACACAACTCCCTGACTTGTTTGAATGGGTGGTATACTCATACACACACACACACGCACACACACACACACACACACACACACACACCTTTTAGAGACAGGGTCTCACTCTGTTTCCCTGGCTGGAATGAAGTGGCACAATCATAGCTCACTGCAGCCTTGACCTCCTGGGCTTGAAAAATCCTCTTGCCTCAGCCTCCCAAGTAGCTGGGACTACAGCAATGCACTGCGACACCTGGCTTATTATTATTATTACTTTTGTAGAGACAGGGTCTCGCTGTGTAGCCAGGCTAGTCTTGAACTCCAGGCCTCAAGTGATCCTCCCACCTCAGCCTCCAAAAGTACATGGATTATAGACATGAGCCACTGCATTGGCTCAATGCATATTTAGTAAGTGAATGAATGAGTAAACAAATTAGTGAATAAATGAATAATATTGAATTTGACTATATTAGCAAAATGGGATATTATAGGATAGCACACAAACCTTATTACTGTCATTTCTCTGAAAAATATGCCCCCTGAGAATGCAACCTATGAGTGGGCAAGAGACCACATACAAGGGTAAAAATGGACTAAGGCATGAAAAGTAGAAATAACAATATAGAGACAATAAATTTGCCTCTGAAGAAGGATAAAGTAAGTCTGCTTGCTCTGAATAATCTTTAAGTCTGAAAACATTTCATCTATCAGAATCTTGTCACTCATCACTGGTTCCCACTCCCAAGAACACTTTTCTTGAGAAGATAGAAATGTCCATCCACATTCTTTTTTTTTTCTTTTTATTGTACTTTACGTTCTGGGGTACATGTGCAGATCGTGCAGGATCGTTGCATAGGTACACACATGGCAATGTGATTTGCTGCCTCCATCCCCCCGTCACCTACATCTGGCATTTCTCCCTATGTTATCCCTCCCCGACCTCCCCACCTCCCCACTGTCCCTCCTTTGCCCCCCCACAACAGACCCCAGGTGTGTGATGCTCCCCTCCCTGTGTCCCTGTGTTCTCACTGTTCAGCATCCGCCTATGAATGAGAACATGCAGGGTTTGATTTTCTGTTTCCACCCACATTCTTGACTGCATCACGCTTCCTGCAAAAATTTCAGTGGAGAGGCAGGGGAGAAAAAGCATCAGAGAGTTGTTGAAAGAACTCATATTAGAGACCCCTAATTGCACAGTCAGTTTTAAGTGGGCAAGTCCGTCTTCAGCCTTAGGCTTCTGAAATCTGTAGACATCTGCAGCTTATCTTACAGACCAATTGTAAGAGGGAGGATATTTCCTCACAAAGTTGTCTGAAGGCTGTGAGAGATTGCCAGAATTTGGGCTTCTGGAGGAGCAGGAGATGATTGGAGGAGTCTGAAAGAGAGAAACAAAGTCCTCTGGTCCTGAGAACTTCCTCCAGGGATTGAGAGCCTGGGGTAGAGGTTAGGGGCTGAAGGGAGAAGTGGGAGCTGCAGTCTGGGGAAGTTCTGGGATCTTCGGCTTCTATCCCTGCACGTAGCAAGCTGTTGGGATTTTCCAAAGTTTCAGTATAGAAGAGACAGTGCGTCCCAGAGCCTGAAGTAGCCTCAGCTATATAGGGGGAAAGATATCGGTGATGCCTAAACGTTCTTGTGTAAGCATGAGAGGAAGCTGCCAGCTAACTCCCTGCCACTGAGCCTGCCCCTTCTTGTCTTAGGGTTGCAGTCTTGGGTTACAGTGTTACCGACACAATCTCCAAAGATCTGATCATGTGTTCTAATGTGTCCTAAGTACCACTTGAGAGGTACCACTTGAGAGGTACCACGTCCTGTAGAGATTCAGAGAAGTGCACTTCTGGCTGTGGGTCAGGAATAGGCTCCAGGAAAGAGCTGGCTGGGAGGGATAGGAGGCTTTTAGTGGATGGGGAAAGAAAAGCATTCAAAGGTAACAGCAAGAGCAAAATAGAGCGGGAACACAGATGCATTGTCAAAGACTGACATGGGCACCTGTTACACGTGGTTGGGTGGAGAGGGAGAGGCTAACAGCCACTGGGAACTATGTTTGGAGGCAGTGATCTCAGGAGGAGAAAAACAGTAAAGAACAGAGGCTGATGACAAAGGAGGCACTTGAAAAACACCACTCTGCCAGAGATTATTGGCTTCACCTTCTCCTGAGTGAGGTAATTATTTCTTTGCCAACAGACATTTATTAAATTCCCACTGCACTGCCAGGTGCCATCCTGACTTTGGGGACAAAGCAAAGGCTAGTAAAGATGAAAACAGAAGTCCCTTCCTTAGTGGAGTTTATATTCCAGCGGGGAAGATAGGAAGTAAACAAATAACAAAGTCAGCCAGCAGGTGGTAAGTCCTATGAAGAATACAGCCCAGCCGGGGAGCAAGGGTACAGTCAGTGGCATAGGAGCATGTTGTCTGGGACCCGCAAAAGCAGACACTCTGCCTCCCGGGCTTTCGTACACGTGTTCGTTCATTCATTCATGCTCTTTGCTTATATTTTTTGCCAGGCACTGTAGCAGAGCTATAAACAAGAAGAGGAAAATCTATTCCTCATGGAGCTCAGGGTCTAGTAAGCAAGTAACAGGTCAATAACTAATATCATGGTAAGTAGTGGTAGTGGTCATTGGGATAGAGAAAAATAGCAGAGCAAGGGGATAAGGGGGGCTGGTAAGGAGATGATACTTGAGCACAGAAGGAAGGAACTATGAGTATCCCAGGAGAAGAAAAGCAGGAACAAATGCCCTGAGAGAAAGTGAGCTTTGACCACCACAGGATGGTAAATTCATGCATTACAATGTCTCTCCCTCCTCCTCCCTTCTTTTATATTAAACACACCTGCTTCTCGGCAAAGGTTCTGTGTAAAGCAAGGCATCGTCCTAATGCAAGAGGAGAGATCGCTGGGGTCTGGTTAGAAGACCCGGCTCTGCTTTCTCTAACGAAGGTCTTTATGACAAATCTGCATTAGTGCCTTGTCCGAGTTCACTGACCGTCTGCTTCATGGTGGAGGGACACTGACTCGAAGGCCCCTAAGCAGGGAAGGAAGGTAAGCTTCTGTCCCCTCCCTCCCTAGCTGGTTTCCCTGGCACATGGTGGTTTCTCTCTCATTCTCTGCTGCATGTTGTGACCAGGAGAGGAAAGAATTCAGCTGGACTATCTCAAGGCCTGTGTGATGGAGTTGAAAGTTTTGCTGATGTGCATGTTGGTGGTCAAGGAAGGCTTTCTGAACACTTACCTGGTGCCCATAGAGGTGGGTCACAGAGGTCCTGAGAGCTGGAAGCTGGAAAGAGTCAGTCTGGGGTCCTAAAAGGCATCTTCTCTTCAGTGCCGACATTGGGGGCATATCTGTGATGGAAACAGGGTCTCCGCGTGGCCACAGGCACATTCCATCTCTTCTGAGCTCATCCTGACCCTATGCACTGCAGACCAGGGGTTCTAAGCTGCAGCATCGTGGGTGGGGCCACCTTGCAGCCTCCTCAGGGTTGAGTTTGTTGCTCTTATTGATGAAGAAACTGAGGCTCAGATGGATAAAGGGCCTGGCCCAGGGTTACACAGTGCTGAGGCAAGGACATGAGCCCAGCTTCTCTCACAAGGAAATCTGCAAGGACGATCATTGTGCTGCAAGAGGAGGGGTGGGGGATCTGAGCTTCTGAGGCAGCCTCCCTCTGCAGCATTGCCTGTGGTAAGGACACACCACCCTGGCTGCATATTAGAATCACCTGAGCAGCTTTTAAAATTCCCGGGGCCCATGTCTTACCTCGAGCCAATTAAAACAATCTCTGGAGGGGAGACCCAGGTATTAGGAATTTTTCAAAGCTGCCCAGATGGTTTCAATGTGCAGCCCAGGTTGAGAACCATGGTCAAATGGCAAACTCAGTTGCAGCTGTTGAAAATTTATAAAAACGCAATAATTTTGGAATTCTCTTGCTTTAAAAAGGACTAATAGCTTGCTACTTCTTCCTTCTCTGGTCACTCCGGGGTAGTCATTTTGCAAGATAAGGACCTGTGTTAAGTGAGCGTAAAAACATGAATAAAAATTAAAATAAATTACTAAGTGAGACCTAAAAGCCATGAATAATGTAACAAGGGGAAGAGCTAGAAGATCTAGGGCAGAAAGCAAAGTCGAGAAAATATAATAAGAAGAGGGTCACTGGGGAAGCCTCAGTAGGGTCGGAATACAAATGGAGGAAGGAAAGCTGGGGTGCAAATCCTGTCTTTTTGATACGTGGGCCCCCGTAAGTACCTTGGATACCTGAGGGATTTCAGTTCTTGCAGATGATTGACAGGCCCCAGCCACGGACTACCAGCATCCCTCAGGAAGAGCAGCTACGCCCGGGTCTGTGTAGCATGTTTAAGACTGAGGAGGGCCCCGTGAAGAGCAGTAGAATTGCAGTCACATGAGCCTCAGGCCTTTGTATTGGAATCCAGGGGGGGATGAGGAGGAGGAAGGGGCCTTGCTTTGTTTGAAAAAGCCCCGTGCTCCTTCCCTTTTCTCCTCCACCCCTACATTGAGAATTGCTGTCCCTAGAAGGACTCACCCATGTGACCAGTTCTCCTGCAGGTCCAAAACAATCCCAGACTTTGTGTCTACCACATCATTTGCACTTTCCAGGCAGCTCCTGAAGGAACCCGCTCCCACGGGGAAGGGTGGCAGCTAATGATTCCCACAACCTGTCACTCAATGATTGGCATTAGTCTTAGTCATGGTTACCACCAAAACTTCCCCAAAGGAGAGACATCGGGTCCTTTGATTGACCAATAGTATATTCTTTAGAAATAATTGCTTCCAACCAATTCCCAGCAAACTCAAGCTATAGATGACAAAATTTTATAAACCCAAATATTTTATCAAATGGTAACCAAGTTTTGGGTTTAAGGATAACACATTCTCTCTTAGACACAGTCCACTAAAGAGAGATCTCACCATGAATGATTTGTTTGAACTGCTGATTCATCAATTATGGTTGAAAGTTGAGATATACAATTGCAGGTATTTGGGAGACAGTTGGAAGGCGATGCGTTTCCTTAATGACCTCTATGAAATTGTAGTTGAGCTGGGGCAAGACAGGAGCACATTTGGATGAATTTTGTTCTCAGGTATTGCAAAGGGTTATGTACATTTTTAGCCCAACCTATTTGACCTGCAAAAACCTTCTGGAGGTATGGGAGTTTTCATTAACAAGTAATCATTACACTATCTGAAGACCTTGTCTGTAAGTCTAGGATATATAAACAGTTGCTAGGATCATAGCTGGAAAGGAAAAGTTGACCTTGCGGGGCCTTCCTGCCTCCTGGATACACTCCCATTCATTTCCAAATGGCGCCTTTCCCTGCTTTATAAAATGACATATTCCAGAATGTTATCAAAGTGCGTCTCAAAAGATATCAACACCCTCAATGATTTACAAAGTCACTATGGTTTCTTGTAAAAAAGAAAAAAAAAATTTAAAAAACCCAGATTGACAAAGTGCTATAAATGGTGCATAACAATATGTTTTTGATTGTTTGGGACAGCCAGTGGGTGCCTTTATGGGAATGGCTGCAAAGGTTCTTGGATACCTGTGTGTAAATGTAGAAAGCCAAAGCTGTCGTGTAGGCCCAGCAGAAGTGGCCGTAGACACAGAAACTCCCAAACAAACATGTAACCTAACAACTTTACCAAACAAATCAAAATGTTCCCATTGAATCATCTAAAATAAGGTGAGATCTCTCTTGCCTTCACGGAACTAGTCAAGTTCCTCTTCCACATGATTACATCTCTGGCAGAAGCTTCCTTTGGGCCTAACCCACTTTTTAAAGCATGCCTGGTGTTGCCTGTTTGTTCATGGGAAAGGGATACCTTGTAGCTCTTAGAAATACAAGCAGGTTGTGAAAAGGAGGAATAGTCACAGACCATTTGGTGGCAGGAGAAGAACTAGCCACAGGCTCAGCATTTGGATGTTTGACCAATCCCTGGGCTCCGCTAGAATAGCACAGAGAGAAGCGTGCCTGTTGACCAGATATTCAGAATCCCCAAAACTACCCAACCCAAAATCAAGCCATATTCTGGGAGTCTCACTGACATCTTTTAAACATATTTCAGCTTGGAAGGATTATGCCTTACTGAGAAATAGTATGAGTTGGCAAACTTTTTGTAAATAAGGGCCAGATAGTAAACATCTTAGGCTTTGCAGGCCACGTGGTCTCTGTCACAAATATTCAATTCTACCACTGAAGTGCAAAAGCAGCCACAGACTGTGGAAACAAGTGGACGTGGCTGCCGTCTAACACAACTTCATTTACAAAGACAGGCCGGGTGCCAGGTTTGGCTGAGGGCCGTAGTTTGCCAGATTCCTTTCCCCATTCATATTATTGAGAATGATCAGTGTAGGTGGAAGATGAACGTGTTACCAAATTATAGAGTGTGATATTTAGAGGCCAGCATAGGGTAGTGGTGAAGAACATGGACTCTGACTCCACGAGCTGGATAACCTTGAGCAAATTATTAAACCACTCTGTGCCTCAGTTTATTCACCTATAAAATGAGGATAATAATAGAACATAGTGTTGTAGTTTGGGTTCATCCCAAAGCAGACCCGGATAAAAGGACTTAGATAGAACTGATTTTTTGAAAGGTGATCCCGGGAAGTACACGTGAAGGAATAAGGGCAGGTGAGACGGTGCAGAGAGAGTAGCTCTTGAAGGGGGTGTAAAGGAACAGTCATTCCTGAGGGCACTGGGGGCGCTGTCACGTTGAGCAACTTCGCAGTATTGTAGAGGACAGGAAGCTGGATGTTTACCTGTGCACACGTGATCCTCACTGTTGGTTCACATGAAACTGTCCACTGTGACCGCAGATATAATTGGGAAGTGGACCGAGGGCACATGGATGGGCAATAGTGTCTGCCACGTGATTTCACAAGGCTGATGTAAAGATGACATGAATGTGTATTTGCAAAGCACTTGGGGAAAAACGTGCCTGGTCTTTAGGAAATGCTGTTTAAATGATTGCCCAATAAAGAGTGGGCATCCTCTGAAGCAGTAGGAAAGGCTATTAGGCATAACAAAAATTAAATTCTTGAAATTCCATACCTGTAAAGGCAATGCGGGTTGAACACTGAAACAAGTTTCACAGTGCATTATGAAGAAACATTAGAAATGCCAGGAAACCTGTAGGTAGATTATAGGCAGTGGCCTCTTCAACTCTGTAAAGTTGCGAGTCAATAGCATATACTACATTAGCTGATGACAGTGATCTGGAGTGACCCTAGGAAGGCTAGGACAGCAAATAAATGGATGTCATATGTAACCTATACCTAGTTATTACAGGGTGGCACTGTAATTAGGCACAAATGACACTCTTTACATGAATTATTATAATTTGTATTTTATACAACCGTATAAAAGTTTTTTTTTTTTTTCTTTTTTTGAGTCACAGTCTTGGCCAGGCTGGTGTGTAGTGGTGTGAACTCAGCTCACTGCAACCTCCGCCTCCCAGGTTCAAGCAATTCTCCTGCCTCAGCCTCCCAAGTAGGTGGGATTACAGACATATGCCACCATCCCCAGCTTATTTTTGTATTTTTAGTAGTGATGAGGTTTCGCCATGTTGCCTGGCTGATCTCACAACAGGACAACTCCTGACCAGGAGTTCAAGACCAGCCTGAGAAACATGGCAAAACCCACCATGACCTCCCAAAGTGCTGAAAATACAGGATCCCACCTCGGCCTCCCAAAGTGCCAAAAATACAGGCATGAGTCGCTGCATCTGGCCCCATTAAAAGTTTTTCTCTCCTTATTTGGCTTATTGTTTAGTATTTAAAATTAGGAAAAGATTGACCATTTTTCCTAATACTGTTTAATTATTAGGACCACCTGTGTCTCCTGTGTGCATGAATGAAAGTGTAGAAATGTAACCCACACACTCTGGCCTTTTGCTTACAACCTTCCTGACTCTCAGTTCCATTCATTTTTACCCTGTTGGGTCTCTCTCCACGTGGCCCCATACCTCCCCTGTTTTTCGTGTGATTTTTAGGCATCTGCAGGTATTTCCTCTCCTCTTTTCCTGAGTGATCTGGCTGCTGGTGGACTCTGGGGAAGGGTGCTCCTATTATCTTATTACCGTATTGTAGCAGAGATGAGAGAGAGACAGAGAGATCCCTGACCCAGGAGGTGATCGTAGGAGCACAGTAGATATAGCCATGGCTCTTTTGTGCCTAGCAGTTCCAGGTAGATGGAAAGTAAACAGTTGGACTTACGGAGAAATAGGCTGTGAGAAGAAAGTGCTCAAGAAAGTTGGTTCTTTCTTCCGGGATTTCACTGCCAAAGCCTAGATGACAATCTTTGGCATGGGTCAGTAGCTGTAAGAATAAACGTACAACCACTTTCAAGAATCAGAGGAGTAATCTTGAGTGGGAAGAGGAGGAAACAACCATGCCTCCTGTCCAACCTCACCAGGCTCTCGCGTTACTGAAATAGAACCATCTTCAGAGACACTTCCAGCATGTGTCACAGTCAACTGCTTTTGGCTGCAAGAAACAGAAACAAAACCAACTGAAAGTGGCTTAAAGTATAAGGAAATGTAGTATTACACAAAAGAAAATGTCCAAGATTGCTAAATTCATTGGTTCAAAAAAATGTAATCCAGGATCCAGGCTCTATTCTGCCAAGCTTCACATATCATCCTTGTCCTCAGGCTGGCTCTCCCCATGGTTGAAGGTGGCTACCACCTCTTTGTGTATCACAACAAACACAACCACATCCAGAGGAAGAAGAAATTGTCTTCATGTGTGTCTCTTTTAGGAGTGAGGAAACCTTTCCCAGGAGATCTTCTGCCAGAACTGTTTGGTCACGATAGACTGCATTGTCAGTCCTAAACAAACCATGGGCAAGAGCAGGGCCATCATGACTGTCTCAGATGGGTCAGGATTGACTGCTGGAGATAGGCTGCGGTTGGTGACTCCCTTGAGTCACGTGAAGGAGGAATGGGTTCCAAAGCAACTTTGGAACTCTGTCAGCAAAGAAGGGGTAGATTGAATGTTGACTGACAACCAACAGTAGGGTTTTGATGATGTCCTGGAGACCTACTGAAACTCTTCCTTTTTCTCAGCCTTTTCTACTTACTAGCAGATGGCTAAAACTCCTTTGAAAAAATCAGAGCTCTTTGATTCTACAATTTCAAATGAAAAGCACTCAAGTATGAATGTGGCTAGGAGGAGT